AAAGAGCTTCTTGGAGTAGCTCTTGTAGTTGGCCATTGTTGGCATTACCGAATTGGCGGCGGCGACGCCAGTGCGGTGGTGTTCGTGTGTTGTTGTCACGGTGGTGGGGAGCCTCTTCATCTTCCTATATGCATGGCCTGCATGTTTGCTTTTTTTAATAATTAATATTAAATTACTATATTATCTGGAGTAATGCTCCAACTAACAATAAGGTTAGAATGTGTTAATAATTGTATATATATTATTAGATTTTTTGAAAAAGTCATAAAATTGTACCTTTTGTTAATTATTAGTTAAAATACAAACTGTAACCTCCAAATCCCTAATTGACCGAATTGACCGTGTAAAGACTCTTAGCACTTTTAACAACTAAGCATGGAGTGTCACGTATCTTCTAACTCCCCATTCGACCGAGCAAGTCGAATTCAAGATCATTCACGGATTTTCTAAGACTGACTAAGGCAATAATTTCCATGATTCTCGCACATATTTGATTACGGTTATAAATGTGATTTATAGGTTCATTATGAGAAATAAAATGAAGGCTTATTTCAAGGGATTGGGATTGGAGAAAAAGATTCGTATCCTTAAATATGATACCCATATATATAAAGGAAGAATGGTTTTACTAAAAGGAGGTTACACTCATCAAATGTTCTAAGTTAGGACGACGGCTAGGTTCTCTTAGAGTTCATATCACTAGGGTTTTTCGACCGTTATCCTTTAACCGGAACACAAACAAAAAATAATTATGTGATATTAAACTTAACTATTTTTTATCTTCAAACTTTTACTTGCATATTTTTCTGTTGAAAAATTTTCGTGAATTTTATCTTCTAATTAAATTTTCAGAATGTTACACATTATAATTTTTCGTTAGATAGATAATTCATATGATTATAAATAATAATTTTAAAATTTTAATAATATTTATATAAAATTACTCATAAATAATATATTTAATATATTAATATAAATATCACATATATTTATATAAATACAACTAATTATATATATAGAAATCGATTATTTCAAAGTAATTAATAATCGATCATTGACGTCGACGTCATGGAAGTTGATGATCAAATTATTTGTAGGATCCCATCGATTACGGACATCAACCTTAAATTAAACTACTTTTTCACATTGAGTGTCGAAAAAATTCCCGATAAAAAGAAATTACCCACACGGCCGCGCGTTTGTTTTATTTCTTAACTCTATCTATATAAAGATAAACTATAATACAAAATTTAAATCCTATCATCATCTTATTTTTAAAATAAGAAACAAATATAAAAAAAAAAGGAATCTCATTAATTACCCAAATTGCGATTATCTTTCATTTCAACATCTAGATTTGCCTCGATTTAATTTCGTGACATGAATTTTTACATAAAATTTTCTATGGTGCCACAAATCGAGCTCTGGTATAAATCTATTTTCATTAATTGAAAATTTATTTTTTTCTTCATTTATTTTCTTTCTATCCTATCAAATATAAAGGGTATCTTCACCATTAATTGTTGGGTGAACGCTATAGATGTTTTTTAAGTCAATTAAATTCGAGAATGTTATAAAAAAAAAATGTGAAAAACATACCAGCTGTGCAATATATGTGGGCATGAACTTAGAAAAAAGATAATATTCTAGAGGACCAAAAGAATAACATTACATGAAAACGTATACCAGAGCATATAGTCAAAGAATGAATAATAATGACAAAAGTCACATATAATAAATTATTGACATATATATAAAATAATAGGTAGGGAAAGAAAAGTCCAAAAT